AAAAACATCATTATTTGAAAGAGTTAAAATTGAATTCTAGGATCTAATTGGCTCATTTTCATTGTCATTTACAAAGTTTAATATAACATTTTAAGCCTATTATAGCATTCGGCACGATATATCCAGTTATGTGTTGAAGTGCCGTAAAAATCCAAACAAACAATCTACCTATACCTACCTACCTACCCATAAATTATTTTAATTGTGTAATCGGTATATTAATGATATTTATGAACTTTAAGTAAAATGATTTTAGATATCTGACAGCTAGTGATGAGTATTAAGTAAACCATCATTTTAGTTTTTAGCATCATTAATTATTAATGTTTGATTAAAAATTGTATGTTTAAAAAATTATGTATAGCACTGATACGGTGACTCTACATGTATATACATTATGCGCAATCAATTTTTATTGCAGCTGTTTTATCATTCATGTTGATACTATACTTTGAATTATATACAGTCGTTTATAAAAAATCTCTTACAGCTTAAGTTGTACTGTTGTAAACTTGTCGACTTGAAATAAAACTTACCTTATCGTCTTGGCTACCTTATTTTATTAAACATTTAGTAGTGTACGTCCCAAAATAAATAGTTTTATTTGATCTTTATTACTGTCAAGCCTCTGATGACTCAGACTAACAAAATGGACGCAATCGCAAGAATGTTGCGACCTCCAAGCTTAAAATCCGTGAAAGAAGGAGCAAAATCATTATTTATCCCGCATTTTATAGTGAATTTATTTCTTTCTACATCATTCTTTATTGTGAAAACCCTGCCACCGATTTGTGATGTGTTATTTGAGGATTGTTCTCTTGAACTCGTAAGTAACTTTAGAATAAATAAGATTCGCCCTAATCACGATTCGACCTAATTTAATTGCCTGTTGCTGAGGCTCATTCTTTGGCATCCTCCAAGATTGAGCAGTCTAAACAAACATTCTAAGGGGACTTACATGCATAGTTACGAAGTACCGCTAAATGAAGGGCTTGAGCTATTGCCAGCAGGGTTTTTGGGCCTGGGCACCGCCAAGGAAGCTGAATTGGTGTTGCCTAGATGGTTGAAAAGTAACTTATGTACAACTATATTCTGCAACTTTTTTTTTTGAAATTTCTATCTAGCAAAAGTGTGTCTGTGTCCTTTTTCTTTCTATCCTATTTTTTTTTCTTTATTCTTTTTTTCTTGTGCACGTTAAAAAAATGTCAAGTATGACAGTTTAACATGTAGATTGGTGAGAGTGGTTTTGTCAAACTACCGGTTCGGCAAACTAATCTTATATTATAAAGGAGGTTGTGGTTTCGACTTAATTTATATAGTGCAAAAAATATCTATTGTATAATGGCTGTCTGTGCGAAAGTCTGTCGGTCCTCGGACCTCGCCAACTAAAAATCAGGAGGGCCGAGATAAATTTCCAAGGCCAAAACACCATTTTCGGGGAAGGGGCCTCAGCCTTTTTCTTGGGGAAAATATGCGTGATTTTTGCATACTTTTGGAAAAGGGGTCTCAAATTTAATACAAACTTTTAACAAGTTCACAAACTTTTAACAAGTTCTTCAAAATAGAAAAGCAAAAAGCACTAATAAGGCAGTAAAAGACCTTAATTCAACACCATCATTTAATTTTGTTCTAAATTCTATGGGAAATTTCAAAAGACTTGGGAATTTTGAGGACCAAACTGGGGATAAAAAGAGGCTAGTTTAGTTGGGGAAGCAGCCTATATTCGGCCTCTACAAAGAAGGGTTTTTTGGCCCTGATTTCGATACAGTCAGTCCTTGTGTCCATATAAAATTTCAGCCAGTTTGAAACAATTTTTGGCCTTCTGAAATATGCAAAACTTTCAAGATCGATCTTTTTTTTTTCATTTTTGCTTGTATTCATAGACCCAGATAACCAAAATCACCCCAAGATACAACCAGTTTTTGCTAAGTAATGTAAGCCACCATCTTATCTTGGATAATTTCCTTACTAAAACATATTTTTTCTCCAACCTTTGAAAGATGTATCGTTTTCTTGTGAATTAAACTAAAGGTTTCTTTATTATGTTTTTGTATATTTTTTTCATAGTATCCGATAGTTGAGTCTGATAATTCATATTTTCTAAATATTTTTGTTTATAATTATGGCAATATCCCTCCCCCACCCCTACAAAAAAATACCTTTCAGAGTCCGGGCCGGGAAAAAGTCATCAGGGCCAGAAATAAATCTAAGGATCCCAGTCCTTGTGGCCGAAAGTTTTTTGACTTTCGCATTGGCTGTTAAATGGGCACATCAATTATCATCGGTCTTAATCTGTTGTTTATCACACATTTTCATGCAATTAAAGACAAGCTATTGAAAATTTAAACCTATTATTTATTTTTTTCCTTTGCATGATACAGTTATATTTATATAAAAGCTTAACTCAATACAAAAGATCTCAGTAAACAAACATCATAAAAAGATAAACATGTACATATAAGTAAAGACTGAAACAAAGGAAAATGATTTAAAATTTACATGAATTTAAACATTAAGTGAAGCCTGTAAAATATGAAAACATTTTTTTATAATCTAGGTTTAACTGTATTCACAAATGGTAAAAGCTGAAAAAGAAGGACCAATGTTATTAATTAGAATAAAATCAACATTATACGCAGAAAATTAAAACCTGGAAGATAAAAATTAACTCTGTATTTTATAATCTAAATGTATACACAAAAACAAGACATGCAAAAAACATATAAAATATTAATCCAAAAATCTAAAATAAGAAAAATTTGTGCCATGATTTTATAGTTAATAAACAACACATCTTTTTAAAACACTTATTCATCTCTATATAAACAATTGACACATGCATAGTATTAAAGGGAATCTACCATGATTTTTACGTAATAAACAACAACAATCTGTTTTTATTCTTTATTCACCACACTACATTAAACTTAAAAATGTTCCTCATAAATCCTGTCGTTGAAGTTGTTGGATCCTATTTACATAATCTCAGTAGTTGGGAAGTAGTCATCTCGTCATCTTCGAACTTGTCCCAGGCCTCAAATTTTTTAATATTTTTTTTTGTTTATATAAGACTAATTAATCAAATAACGAACAAATCATTATCAAAATAGGTATAATATATAGACATCTACAAGTATATAATATATTCAAAGGAAGTTTAATGTAATTTGTGTCATGATTTCGATTACAAACAAACACTATTTGATGTTTTTAAACCACCTTTATTATAAGCATGTACGCTGAACCAGTGTACTTTGCCTATATTCCGTACTATATTAAAATAAGATCAGATGTGGAAGCATCGCGAGGGGTAATGATTGATATGATGATAAACAACCTTATGACTGTAGGATATGTAAAGTGTAGAAGTATCTTCGCTGGCGACCAAAGTATAACAAATCATATTGGTCTTTTGTGGATTTGTGCATGATTCCTCTCTTAATTAAAAGGCTTTAGTTGGCACCGAACTGGTTAGTGACGAAGTAAGCCACCGATAATGTCTCGAGTAGATAATAATGTGAACAGATGGGATAAAGCAGGTGGGTAAGTCAGATAAATGACTAAGATGGTAAATAAGAGGGGTGGTCTGAGTTATCAGGTTATTCCATTATTTTTGTATATTTCCTTTTTGTGCTTTGTTGATATCTAAAGGTGTCATATTGGTTATTCTAATATACTATCCATGTCTTTCAGTAGATTACCTGATTTTCATTGCTGTAAAGTTGTTTTATAATAATGATCTTTCAGAATACCTAATTGATTAATATGAAAGAAGATAAAGGGGAAGTCGAATTTAAAAAAAATCTTTTTTTTTAAAGATCAATCTAGTATAACTTGCTGGATTATCCCTTGATTTACAATAAATCGAGGAATGCATGCACTCCACACGGCTTAGACTGCGTTATGACAACTGAAAATTTTCATTAGTAGTGTCGTCGCTGCACTTCCCAGCGTGCCCCGATTTTTTAGAATGAGTTTGCTATTAAATGATAGCATAGGCACGTAGTTCTCGATTTTTCAATTTTTTTTTGGTTGTTCAGTGCTCCGCAACTGAATGTATAAGTGTGTCGTGCAAAGATGAAATTTCCTTTGTATTATGATTTACATGTTGTTACAACGTCCGACATAATTGCCGAGTGGTATTATGATGTATAGAGCGAATTAGTACATTATTTGTACCATAATTTTGCATTTATAGAGCAAAACTGGAGTGGATCTGTTCATATGTTTGGTCAGCACGCCTTCTCATTAAAAAAATTAACTTTGGTTTTCAGTTATTTATTTAGTTTGGTAGAAGAAAGCTTTTCTCTTTATTAACCTAAGTTGTGCTATGATTTCACTCTTGGTATTTACTCCTTATAAGCCAGTCATATCTTACTGATGTATGGTGTTGAAAACTTTTAGCTAAAGAGTAAAAATTTGGCGACTTGATGTCTTAGATTGTTTTACGCGGAAAGGATTGGTCTTTGAGTCTATCAAGTGTAACTTAATACCAGATTTTATGATTAGCTAGCTGTTTATCTTATTTCGAGAAACCCAATGGGAATGGATCTCACTATTCTTGACGTGCCAAATAGAAAAAGGCGTAATTTCAGTTATTAAAACAAATAAAAATGTATTGCACACATGTTACCAGTATGGAGTAGATAATTGTAGAACATTGCATTGATTTTTTGTAGGCAGACTGAGCTCTGTAGACCTTTACCCAGTTAACAAAACTTGTTGAATATACCAAACATATTTAAGATTTTTCTAACCAGCTCAACTTTTTGCATTCATTTGTATAATTATGTCATTTTTAGAAGAATTTTTTTTTTATAAATTATTAATTTTTACTTTACTATTATATTATTAAAAGTGCATGTTTCAAGTAATTTGACTTTTTCTATTTTCACTAAAAAGATTTAACATGCACATATGAGGAATAACTTTACTGTATTAACTATTGTAAAACACACCTAGTACTAACTGTCTTGAAACATCCATGTCTTTTTCAGTGGCAATGGCAGAGTACCTGTCTGTGGCGTGTATGTTTGCAAAGGCGTTAAATCTAGTCCTATTTTACCAAATCAGCGTTCCATATGCATTTGTATATTGTATATTTTGTCTTTGTAAGTATGTTTTATAATAAAAGCTGTATTTTTATCAATCCTTTTCCTGCTAATGTTCGTCCACCTTAATAGGACAAGGCAAAGCATTAAATTTGTTTGCCAGGATAATCCTTGGTTCGATTCTTCGGGCAAAGCGAACCGTCTCCATGACAATAATTTTTATCAATATCTCTCACATTGATTCTAATGGTCATTTGTCACTAGTCACAGATTCAGAAGTCATGAGAAAATCAGATTAGTAGTCAGGAACTTGCGAAGTAATTGGTAATTTTTGGTAACCAATTACTGGTAATAAATTACTGGTTGGTTACCTGGTATAGCCAGTCAGATGGATTAACTGGCAAGATATGGCCAAAAATGTGTTTAAACTAAAAAATAAAACAAACAATCCAGCTGATGTTTCATAATGATTGTGACCAGCTATGGGCTTGTCTATGGTTAGCTAAATTGACTTTTATATAAGAGTTTTTTTTTGCTGTGAATGAGCAATAGACAATATATTCAGGCATTTATTTTTTGTTTCGATACTGACCTGGCTTAACAACTGTTTGCCATGCCATTAGTCCTGGAAGAGTGAAAACATGTACCAACAAACTACTGTAACCCTACGAATATTCGCGACCAATTAATATTCGCTTTATTCGCGGATGGCCATGAAGCGCGAATATTTGTTTGCGCGAATAAGTCCGCACGATTTCGAGAATAAATTGGAGAGAAATTTTTATTTTAGACGTTGTTCATGCTTTAGCTACTTACCGGATATATTCGAATTTTACGGGCACCTGTTAGGAAGTAATGAATTGTTATGAATATTGCCATAAAGCAATAAAAACACAAACTAAGTAAACTACTACAGTAACTATTTTATAAATATCAAAAGAACTCTATGTCAATATAGCAATCAAAATAAACATCCGCATTTTAATACAGTTTATGAAATACTAGAAGGCCTATTGTCAATCACGTTTCTTTTCTGGTGTGCTTTCCAGACCATGATAAGGCAAAAACGATGCCGAAACATCCCTGCATTCTAAGGGTTTGTTTTTTATCCGCCACCCTTTTAACGACATGTTTTGAAATGAAGACGAACGATGCATATGTACATATATAGAGAAAAATGTTTTGCTGAATTGTGATCACAATTCACTTACCAATACAATATAAGGCTAGCGTATTATTAATCCCATTTAAGACACCAATAATGACCTCAATTATTGAAGATTAATAGTCGGCTAATGGATTTTACGGCCCCATCGGACTTTCCAATCCGCGAATATATTTTTTTCGGAAATCAAGAAAACGCGGAAATTAATATTCAGGGATATGTCCGACCTCTGCAAAACGCAAAAATTTGTATTCGCGAATATAAATTGGGTTACAGTTTATTCTTGCTTTTAATTTATATATGTGATGTAGAAGCATGTGGAAATTTAAGTCTGGTTGAATGGCCTTGATATTAAACTCTACTTTCACTTTATTGATAGAAAGACAGGTGCTTCATACTTTCATTAGTATCTTGTTGAACTAATTTTGTAAAATATTAAAAACAGTCATACTACCCATCAATAACACATTATTAACATTAATTCCTATATTGCATTTCAGTACATTTTGTATTTCTACCAATGCCAGTTTATAAAGGTCCAGAATTTGTGACATACTTCCGAGGGCCTCATTTAAAGGTGAGTGATCCTAAACATTTTAACATTTATTAGTCTGTTGGTTTGGTATATTAAGGTTGAGTGTGTAAGTTCTCAATTTAATTTTGATTTTCTAATGTTTTAAGTAATAAGGATCTACTTTGCTCTGTGTTTAAATCATTATTATCTTTTTATATATACATAGTAAAGTAAGATGCATGCAGCTTGTCTGAAATTTAGCATATAATGTAAGTCCTCCACATGTCTTAGTCATTTCAGTACATGTAACTTAGTAAACCTGTTGTTGTTTCCTGCCATTTATATAATCACTGTCCCCACTAAAGAAAAAAAAACTTTGAGATTTGAGATAATATTGTTTCTTGTCTTCATTATCTGTAACCATTTCCCAGTTAAATTTATTTTGCCCTCATCAAGCTATGGTTTTGGATTTGTCCATTGTTACTTTGACAGAACTTTTACTGTTAATTCAGCAATCTGCACTCTGCAGTGTACAATGTTTACATAGGAAATGTTTCATTTTATGCAGGTAAAAACTAAAAGGTCTGTTGTTACATTTCAGAATGAGATAGCTCGAGACAAACGTGTTACTTGGATTATATGTTTCTATGCCGCCTGGTCTCCACCATGTGTAAATTTAGCTCCAATATTTGCTGAGCTTTCTTCAGAGTAAGTTGCTGATTAGGTTATCAATCATATTGTAAAAGAACTATAAATAGAAATAAAATCTAATCTGTTATATAGATTGTAAAAGGTAAATCTTACAAGTGCTTAAATTAACTTTTTTCCTGGTTATACCTTTAGAGGTACATAAGAAACAGTAAATTTCATGAAAGTTTAGCCTCAGCTTTTACAGTACAACTGTATAAATGTGAAAAATTAACATGTTCAATTTAGAATTAATTTACTCCAAATATCAAAGACTTCAAAATTACAAAAAATTAAGCTCTATTTCCTAAATTTGCATACTCATTTTGTAACATATATTTCAGATATAATTTAGATAATTTACAGTTTGGAAAGCTAGATGTAAGCAAGTTTGCTGAAGAGGCTGCAGAGTAAGTTTTAGTCTTTCAGTTACATTATTAAAACCCATAGCGTGCATGCTTGTGGCTACAGAATCTACCCATGCGACCAGTGCAGACCGAGAATGATCAACACAATCATGCTCTGCATTGGTCACTATTTTGTTTGCACTGTAACATATTTTGAATTTTTTTGCTAATCATGATGAATACAATGTGGTTATGTTAACCTTGACTGATGGAGAAGTCCATATAAGATATTTAGCAATATAAGAGTTGAACAAACCATTTTAAATGAAAAAAGCAAGATGAATAACATCTGATAATTTAATGTTGACTTAAACTAATTTCACAATGTCAAGCTGACCATAAATACAGCCATATTGTCCTCAGGCAGTGGATCTTAACATATAAGGAAAAACTAACAATGAATATGCATAACATTGACAGTTTGTTGTTTTGTAAAATATTGATGGGCCTATAATCAGCTATTCTTTAGCACACTCCTCTGGTGCGATTTATATATGAATGTTGTCATAAAATTTCCTGTTAAGATCGCATAATAACTCATACTGTAGCAAATTGTTCTGTTAAGTACTGTAATCGTAATAGGTAAAATCATAATTTAAAGAAATTACTATTTCTACAGTAAAGAAAGTACTATTTTTACACTAATCAAAAAACTAATTTTACACTGAAGAAATTACTATTTCTACACTAAATTAATTACTATTTCTACACGTAAGAAATTTCTATTTCTGCATTAAAGATATTTCTATTTCTAACTAAAAAAATTACTATTTCTACACTAAAGAAATTACTATTTCAACACTAAAAAAGTTACTATTTCTACACTTAAGAAACTACTATTTCTACACTAAAGAAATTACTATTTCTACACTAAAGAAATTACTATTTCTACACTAAAGAAATTACTATTTCTATACTAAAGTAATTACTATTTCTACACTAAAGAAATTACTATTTCTACAGGTACAGAGTGAACACATCATCATTTTCCAAGCAATTGCCCACTCTAATACTGTTCCAAGATGGGAAGGAAAAGATGAGAAGGCCAGCTATGAGTGGCAAAGGAACTGTTGTCAAATATGTATTTACCAAGGTACTGCAAAATCATTATTATTCAAGGGGCACTAAATTTCTTTTTTTTTGGTCATGTCAGTCCATGAATTAAATGAATCCAATGTGTCTTTTCCTGAAATAATGCACAGAAGGACAAGATCTGAGGTCTTTCTACACCAGTAAAGCTGGAATGTCGCCATATAACCTATTCCGTGTTAGTGTGACATAAAACCAGACCAAAAAAATAAAATTTGTTGTATGATTATTTCTATTACATTATTCGCATTTTATATATTTTTTTTGCAAAAATAGACAATTCATGAATTTAAGAACAAGGAGAATTAATTTTTATGCCCCCAGGCATATAGTAATTGAACCGTCCGTCCGTTCGTCTGTCTGTACGAGGTTAACCTAGAATGGCAAGTTGGATTTTTCTTAAGTTCTACCTGTACCAATGGCTTCTTAGTTTACACACTTACTAATCAATACAAAGTACATGATCTGGGCAAGTTACATAACTCTGGCTTTCATATTTACCAAGTTATTGCCCTTTTCAGCACTTAGAAAATGAATAATGGTTAACCTAAATTGGCAAGTTGGAAATATCTTTAGTTCTATCTATACTAATGGCTTTATAATTTCCACACTTACTTATCAATACAAAGTACATGATATTGCCAAGTTATATAACTGTGTCATCCAAATTTCCCAGTTTTTTCCCTTTTTTCACTTTGAAAATAGGGCCTTGTCTGGTTAACCTATTTCGGCAAGTTGGATCTTAAATTTCTCCTAATTGCTTTATTTCTTTAATAATATCTTTCATATTTAGTAGGTGGATACCTTTGATGGTCCTCGAATGTTTTGTGGAGTAAGCGGTCTCTAGGGTCAAGGTCCCTGGTTTAAAAAATAAATATAAACATTTTTGCTCATACAGCCATTATTTTTTAGTTGATGTCTTAGTTTAATGCAAACATGCCAAGGGAGGTCCTCCTTCTTTGGGTGTAGTAAGGGGTCATTTGGGTCAAGGTCAATGTTACCAATGTCAAGGTCAACAATGTTAAAAATAGATTTTTACATTTTTACAAGTGTATTAACCTTATTCTATAGACAGATGTTATTTATAATTGATAGAAACATAAAATTTGATGGAGTTAGTGATTAGTTGGGTCAAGGTCACCAGTGCTAAAAATAGATTTTTACACATTTGCTCATACAGCCTTTATTAAGTGACAGATATTTTATGTTTGGTAGGAAGATAACTTGCATGATATTCATCCTTTTGATTGGGGTAGTGATCAGTGGGTCAAGGTCACTTGTGCTAAAAATAGATTTTTACACTTTTGCCCATACAGCTTTTATTTATTGACAGATGTATTTCATATTTGGTAGGAAGATAACTTGTATGATATTCTTCCTTTGGATGGAGTAAGGGGTCAGTTGGGTCAAGGTCACCAGTGCTAAAAATAGATTTTTATACTTTTGCCCATATAGCCTTTATTTATCGACAGATGTATTTCATATTTGGTAGGAAGATAACTTACATGGTATTCTTCCTTTGGATAGAGTTAGGGGTCAGTTTGGTCAAGGTCACCAGTGCTCAAAATAGATTTTTAACCAGGTTTCCGAAGGAAAAAACTGGTTATTAGATTGAGGTATGTCGGCGGCGGCGGGCGGGCGGGCGTAAACAATTTCTTCTGTGCGCAACTCCTCCTACATTTCTCAACGGATTTTGACCAAACTTTCACAGAAGCTTTGTCATCAAGTGCCCTGGCGCATATTGTCGGGGTTTTGCGATTAGATAATATTTGACCTAATTATGGCCCTTTGTTTTTTTTTCCTTATATAGAATATATAGTGAACAATTTCTTCTGTGCGCAACTCCTCCTACATTTCTCAACGGATTTTGACCAAACTTTCTCAGAAGCTTTGTCATCAAGTGCCCTGACACATATTGTCAGGGTTTTGCAATTGGTATATATTGGACCTAATTATGGCCCTTTGTTTTTTTTCATTATAGAGAATATTATAGTGAACAATTTCTTCTGTGCGCAACTCCTCCTACATTTCTCAACGGATTTTGACCAAACTTTCTTAGAAGCTTTGTTATCAAGTGCCTGGCACATATTGTCGGGGTTTTGTGATTGGATAATATTTTACCGAATTATGGCCCTTTGTGTATTTTTTCCTTATACAGAATATAATAGTGAACAATTTCTACAGTGCGCAACTTCTCCTACATTTCTCAACGGATTTTGACCAAACTTTCACAGAAGCTTTGTCATCAAGTGCCATAGCACATATTGTCGGGGTTTTGTGATTAGATAATTTTTTACCTAATTATGGCCCTTTGTTTTTTTTCCTTATACAGAATATAGATTTTCTATATAGTGAACACTTCTTCTCTGCGCAATTCTTTGCGCAACTCCTACAATTCTCTAGGGATTTTGACAAAACTCTCGCAGAAGCTTTGTCATCAACTCTTGCTGCATGTTGTCAGGGTTGAGATTTGATAATGTTTGACCTAATTATGGCCATTTATTTTTTTCCCTTATATAGAAATATATTGTTTTTGTTCCATATATAGAATATAAAGTGAACAAATTCTTATTTGCACACCTCTTCCTACAAACTATTTTGACAAACTTTCACAGAAGCTTTCTCATCAAGAGTCCTTGTTCATATCATTGGGGTTTTGTGATTTTGGGTGGGCGGGCTGGTGTTCACTTTAAAACAAATGCCCCTGCATGACGAAGCTTCTGTGAAATATTTTACTGAAAACCTGGTTGCATCGCATTGCGATGTTCCTTGTTATACTTTTGCCCATACAGCCTTTATTTAATGACAGATTTATTTCATATTTGGTAGGAAGATAACTTGCATGAAGTTGAATATTTTTCAACTTCACAAGTCAGAGTAATTACTTGGCAACTTATATTTTTCACAATTACAAAATGCCATGACTTTGTCAAGCTATATAACTTGTGTTTACAATTTTTTGGCAATTTTTCTGTCCATAACTGAGTGAATTGGTAAACATTTTTTGAAATATTGCTACTGACAAGAATCTGAGCCGGGGGCATTTGTGATTAACAAACACATTCTTGTTTTAGCTATTATTGAAATTTTACAGCTATTATTGACAATTTACTGCTTGGATTTGACTATATTAAATGATTGTAAACTTTCTTTTTCAGCAAAATATCATCAATGACTTTGAACTTAATGAAGTGTATAGTCAATGTAAGAAAGTCTTACCAAAGGCAAAGAAAGACAAAGATGTACAACAAGAAAAGAAAGAAAATTGATGTGACAAAATAAACTAAATGTTTGTCCGGTTTGTTGGTGAAAATCTCATATGCCATAATCATCAACTTAGTGCAGTAACGGGTTAGTGCCTTCTAAATTAAATAGGAGTTAACCAGTTTTTGCACTTAAGTGATGATATAGAGGATATTTGTTTAGTTCAGTGTAAGATCGGAATATATTTCACCGAGTGAGCACCAAAAGGTATATTTCACGAGTGGCGCAGCCACGAGTGAAATATGAACTTTTGGTGTTCACAAGGTGAAATATATTTCGATCTTACACTAAACTAAACAAATTTTCTTTTTATTATATGCAAAGAAACGTTTTAAAAAGACATTTAACCTAATATTGAATGAAAAGCGCGCCAAATAATAATACAACGTGACGTCATTTACGACGTCACGTCCTTAAGTTGGTACCCAGTACTGTGCACGCTGCAATATCACTGAAACAACGTAAGGGGCTTAAATTCAAAACAGTGAAATTATCAAAATGGTAATTTCACTGTTTCAAACAGTGAAATTACCAGTTTTATATCACTGATATATTTCTATAAACCACCGAAAAGCATGTAATAAATAGTTATATTTGTATAGTCAGGAAGTGTTTATGGTGGAAAAAAAGATTTTGGTGCAATTTTTAACGTGATAAAAAATGCTTTGATAGTTTGTTGACATTCACTATTATATGGAAAATACACAGGAAATTTGTTCTCAGTGTTTTGTTTATAAAAATGTTTTGCTAACTGTATTTTAGATATCACTAGCCAAGGACTATTTGGGTTTATTTTGTATCCTATATTTAGGAGGAAAAAATTATTTGGAAAAAAGATGTTTTTTTTCCTTCTTTTAGACCTATAAGTGTAATAATTGAAATAATAAATGGAAAAAATGTAAAATGTAATCAAAATTTCGCTCAAAGATAAAATAGCTTTTTAAAAGATATAACAACATTTCTTTTAAATCTTTGCAAAAAAAAAAACCCCACTAAAATTGAATAAAATACTCTATTTGATTGATTTGGTCAGGGAAGATTGTTTCAAGTTTCACAATTGACTTACTACACTGTATAAACCAACAAAATGACAGCTGTGTCTTGTTGTGACAATATAGCATTAATTAAGTCTCTCTCCCAATCCCTCTCAGGCTCTGTGTATACATTTACCTGAATACTTTTGGGGCACAATCGTAGGCAAACAGAAATGAATACAAAACAAGACATATCAATTTAAACCTTCAAGTCTGTCAAGTATACAATACCAGGCTGTCAAATTAGGTATCCAAGAAAACACAAAAACAGGTATGATGACAATATTATCTATAGTGTCTCTATTTAATGTGTCAAATTGTAAAACAGAAGTGCCTTCTGGCAATTAAATTGACAACATGGGGGTAAGGGATATTTTTTAGATGTCATAACAACTTGGTTAAAATTCTTTGTGTTCATGTATTGACATTTATATTACTGTTGATGTTACTGTTAAATACTTTTTATACATACATTACTTCACATGCAGATATTGGTATACATGTATAAATAAACAATTGAAGGTTATTTCCTAAAATATTGAAATACATTCCTTGTTTCATATACTTCCTGGAAGAAAAAAAATGAATAAAATTTTAATAGTATGTGGATAATAGACATGTATTTGAGCTGAATTTTGACCTTTGAGTAACATATTTTTTTTAAAGTTTAAAGAAGTATTGCATTCAGTATAGATTGATTTAATATTAAACTGAATACATATCAAATTATTTACACTTTAGATTTAACAAAGAAATTCGCCCCAGAGAAGTGTTAAAAAAATCAGTTATGTATCATTATGTTTGAGTTTCAAGATTAATTCATCAAATCAGCAATATTTTTACCACATGTGACATTGGCTGTTAGCAATTTAAAATGAAATCATTGTTTATTTATATAACTGAGCTATAGGTTGAGTTGATATCAAGCATTCCTTAAAAATGGTTTTGTTCCTTCTTGTGTTCATGCAATATTTTTCTTGTTGTATTGTTATAAATCCTGTTTTCTTCTTTCCACAGCAATATTTGTGTTTTGCATGTCAGTTGACATAAGATGCATTCCATACTATGAAATGACACAATGCCTGTTTTGCATCACATTTGCTTACATAGACATTACTTTCCCCTTTTCTTTAGTACGATATTTACGATAGCTAGTACACTTTCAATATAAAATTTGAGATATAGACAAGATAATATCAGCTTTTGTTAAAACTAAATGCATGCCAAGTCAACGTGGTTTTAATTATTTGATGGTTATGTATTTTTTCATCCAATATTGAGTTATATATTTTATGAAGTTGTTTTTACCATATATACACATATTCAGACAAAACTTAAAAAAGAAAAAAACATGTATAGACTTACAGAATAATAAATATAACATGTTTTTAAGACACAAGGCAAAAAACAATTATTTTAAAACTAAATTTCAATGTAATCATTATTTTCTTCATCTGTATTATCATATTCATAATGTATTATTTGAATCTCTTGTACATGTTTGTTTTGTAAGTTGAATAAAATTTCTATTAAATTAATAAATGTGTTGTTCTTTCTTTTGGTAATTCTTATGGTAGTGTTTCTCAGACTTACCATTACAACCAACTTCTATTCTTCATTAGCTACATATACATGTATTTATTTTTTTCGAATGATTAATGGATACAAGTGTGAAGTAGATGGTACTTTTGCTACGGTTGGTGTATGGCCAAAGTTGAATAGATGTCGACTATCAATATATTCAGATTTTGATTTTTCAAATCAATTTAAAATAATCAATTGATTATAAGTCCCCTACCGGTTTAACTGGAGGGGACTTAAGGTTTACCCTCTGTCTGTCAGTCCGTCCACAAAACTGGATCCCGCGATAACACAAAAAGTACTGAAAATATTTTTATGAAACTTGATATATGGATAGATGGCAGTATGGAGATTATGCACGTCTTTTTCTTTTCTTCCTATGTTGAAAATTCTGGTTGCTATGGCAACAAATGGTCTGAAAATATGGCAAATTTAACACATAAACTGGATCCAGTGATAACTTAAAAAGTACAGAAAATATTTTTATATAACTTGAAATATGGGTAGATGGCAGTCTGGAGATTATGAACATCTTTTTCTTTTCTTCTCATGTTGAAAATTCTGGTTGCTATGGAAACAAATAGCCTGAATTTCAAGATTTCTGATTTAAATTTTTCAGCTTTTTCACTACAAGTTCTTTATTTCTTAAGGTTTTTACTTCAAACTTTAAATATACCGGTAAGTTTCTGGTCATAAACTACATCATATGTGACAAGGTTTACAACTCTAGCACAAAAATTATCAGTATTACCTCCCTTGAACTTAGAATTTTTATGAAAAAAAAAGTTGTCTTTTTAAAAAAATGTTTTATTTCTGAATGTATCTGCTTCAAACTTCATATATATGTTTCTTATTTTCACTCAACATTTTTGAGAAGGTTAAATACTCTATCAAGACTATTTCCAGAATTATGTCCCCCTTGATTTAGATTTTTTTAGAGAAATTGGTATTTTTTACTCCAACTTCTTCATTCCTTATAGGATTTACTTTAAAATCCCACATCGTAATAATATGACAAGGTTGTATAAACATAATTTCCTTACTAGGCAGGGAAACTTAACACATTACTGTGATATAGACAAACTTAGAACTCAAAAGATTAAAGTTCATTTGTGTCATTCATTCACTGGTAAAATTGAATTGCCAATGGCCCATCACAATGTTGCTGGGGTTCTTACCGGTAGGGGACTTATGGATTGCTTGCAATACTATGATAATTGCTTGTTCAAAGTAATTTTTCAGTCCCCAGCAATTCAGATAATTTAGGCTGGACTGTAAGAATATTTAGTCAGTGCTTAATTATAGTCATAATTATATTAAGTCTAGGCATAAATTATCACATGGCCATGAAGATTTGTCTTTGATGTACCTCAACTGGTTTATACCAGTAACATGCTTTATTGACAATTTATTAAAGGGAAGCAAAATTATTATATAAATTGAAACATTAGGCCCTATCAAAATTCTTGTTTCTGTTTATCATGCTAAAAACAGTTTTAATATATTGCAATCCATCATTTTCTCTACAGAAAATCCCTGGATGTTGCCCAAGGCCATGATATTTGCACATACTATACTATAACTTGCTGTACACTGCCATCTGAAATCAAAATTATTTATTGTTAAGAAAATTTGTTGAATGCCTTGGTAAGAGGCACACGACTATATGTGGCAGCATGGCTGAGTAGTTAACACATGAGACATATAATCTAAGGATCTCTAGCCACGTGGGTTCAATCCCTTACTTGGGCAAGCTATTGTAAACTTGAGCAAGAATCTTTACACTTGTTGCACATTAATGGTCAGTCTCAGGAATGGATTTAGGTGTGTGTCTGCAAGCTTATAGCTTCCTACACAATCAAATTAAAATAAATTCTATATAAATTAAAGCTCTGACAAATGTTGTGTGTGTATGTTGTTTTTTACACCCTCTGATTATAGCCCAAGTTTCCAATGATAATAGGCCATAGAATATTTCTAAGTACAAGGGACCAAACTTGTGCAACTATTTGTAAACTTCATAACAGTTACTTCCCTTAGTTTAAATAAATTAAATTTTTTACAAAATAACCATAAACTGAATTTTACCAGTAGTTTTCTTACTTATACAGAAAGCTATATTACTGAATAGCGATCATTGAGGAGACCGATAATAGAATACAACAACAATATGTTTACAACTGATTTATTCATATTTATTTTTTCATATTTGCTCTGTAAAACTATATATAGACAAACAGTAAACCATATAATATCTTTTCCTTCTCCAACAAACTTTTCAAATGCCTCGATAAATTACAAATTTGTAAAGTTTCTAAAACACAGTTTTTAACATTTATAACATTTCTAAAATACAGTAAGTCAACATGTGTAACTTTTCTAAAATACAGTCAACACATGTTACTTCTTGAAAATGTAGTCAAAACATGTAACATTTCTAAAATACAGTAAGCCAAGATGTGTAACTTTTCTAAAATATAGTCAACACATGTTACTTCTTGAAAATGTAGTAAAAA